GTCTTCCCAGGAGGGTGAATGACACAGACACAGGCTGAGAGCCTCTCAGTTTTTTGGTTTTGGTGGGGGTTTTTTAATGGTAACTATTTTTAATTCAATATTAACCTTGTTCAAAAATTTTATGCATGGTTACTCAAGTTTGTGTATCTAAAAATATGAGCAAGTTTCAGCAACTACAGGTTTTGATTAGCAAAATATAGATGCTTTTCTCCCCCGACTTTATTGGGGAATAATTGACAGATGTAATTATATGTATTTAAAATGTTCAAAGTAATGATGTGATATACATTATGGAATGATTACGAAGGTCAAGAAAATTAACATATCCATCCCCTCACAAAGCTCTGTGTGTGCGTGTATGTTGAGAAGGCTTAAAATCTTACTCTTGGAAACTTTCAGATATGCAATATACACCATAGTCACCACGCTGTAATACTGGATCCTCAGAACTCATTCATCTAATACCTGAAAGTTTGTACCCTCTGACCTACATCTCCCCATTTTCCATCCCTTATGTCCTGGCATCCACCATTCTGTTCTCTGCTTCTGTGAAATCAGTTTTTTTAAGCTTACATATAAGTGATACCAAGCAATGTTTTTCTTTCTCTGTCTTATTTTACTTAGCATAATGCCCTCCAGATTCATCCATATTGTCATAAATGACAGAATTTCCTTTTTATGGCTGAATAATATTTCTGTGTGTGTGACCTTGTTTTAATCCATTCATCTGTTAAAAGATACTTAGACTGTTGTCAATGCTGCAGTGAACATGGCAGTGCAGATGCATCTTCGAGACAGTGATTTCGTTTCCTTGGGGCATACCTCCAGACGTGGAATTTCTGGGTCGTATGGTAGTTCTCTTTTTAATTCCTTGAGGAGCCTTCCTACTGTTTTCCCTGGTGGCTGGATCAGTTTCCATTGCCACCAGCAGTGCCCAGGGTTCCCTTTCTCCACAGCCTCGTCAGCACTTGTTATCTCGTTTTGTTTTTTTTTTATAATGCCTGTCCTACCAGGTGCGACGTGATCTCATTGTGGTTTTGAGTTGCTTTCCTCTGATAATTAGTGATGTCGAGCACCTCTTCGTGTGCTTATTGGCCATGTGAATGTCTGCTTTAGAAAAGCGGCTATTCATGTCCTTTGCCCAATTTTTAATCAGATTATTTGCTTTTTTGCTATTGAGTTATATGAGTTCTTTATACATTTTGGTTATTAACTCTTTATTAGGGGTTAAGGGTTGCAGATATTTTCTCCCAAACCGTAGGTTGCCTTTTCAATTTATTATTATTTCCTTTGCCGTACAGAAGCTTTCTAGTTTGAGGAGTCCCACTCGTTTACTTTAGCTTTCATTGCCTCGAGTCTCAGTTTTGTTTAGTTGTGGGGCGTATGGGACATGAGAGGATCATCAGGTACTTCTGACTAATAAGCATCTTATGCTCTTTCTTCTCTTCATCTCCTTCTAACCCCCTGATCTTTTTATCCTCTCTTTCCTGGAAGTGTAGTGCTGGCTGCTGAGCATGTCAGATTCCCCTGCCTGCCTTAGGAAGTTAGTCCCATGGAAGCCCTGCTCCAGCATAATTCTTCTCTACTCACATGATTTCTCTGAAAATCCCCAAGGTTCTTGTTTTCGAGGTTTAGTAGGTTTCCAACAATCAAAGGACTGTCGATACAATAAAAAATAGTAAGACTCATGGCTTACCTCACACTGACTGGCTCCAGGGAATGGTTCTTTTTAGCAAGGAAAAATGACTTCTTAAAGGTCAAAATTATTTGACATTTGTCATGGCTAAGACTTCTTTACCTCTAAAAGTTTATTGCAGAAGGAAAAAGAAACTTTGACTGTTTAAAACAATCTATAGTATTTTATTTTTACAAAGCAAAATGCTTATATACAGCATGAGTTAATAACCATTGTGCCATCTACCTTTATTTTTCAGCTTATTTTTATAGACAGGGTAAAAGAGAAAGCTCTTCGAGCTCTTTTCTTAAAAAGTAAATAAAGATGGGTATATCTGTAGACTGAATCGTGTACGGCGGTTTTGCGTAAGCATCCACAGGGGACTTCTCCCTACCTCCCGTTTGAGCCCCCCGGCCACTGCTAGACCCACTGCCTGCTTTCAGTGCTGTGTCCTGATTGAAGCTGAGTAGCAGAGACGCTCGGGCCAATTGCAAGGCCCGATGCCCTCCGGTCAAGGCTCACTTGCGTCAGCTCACCTCCAGCAGAATAGTCTTTGTCTTTAAAATAAAAAATGCGTAGACTGAAGATAGTTTCATTGAATTTAAAAGCAGAAACTCCTCTTTCCCATAACCCTCTTTCACTCCTTTCTCTAATACCCAAGTGCCTCTTCCTCAGAATCAAAATAAATGGTTCTTTAGCAAAGGGACTTGTTTTCTGCCCTCATGTAACCTTAGGCCTTACAAAAAATCGATAAGTGATCTCACCGTTCTTTTTCATTCATAGAAAAATCATGTGGAAAGGCAGCTGCTGCTATATCAGAGATCACAGCAGGTAGAGCTGACTCAGGCCAGCCCCCTGAGAAGTATGTGTCAGGACCCATCGTGTTGAAATACTTCAGCCCGTTTACTGTCCCATCCTCGGTACATATGATTGCATTGTGTCCCTCAGAGACCTACACTCTCCCTGGAGATCACAGGCCATTTTCCAAACATACCCTTCCAGCCTCCCTTCCTCTCCTCCTCCGCCCTTGCCCCACCTCTGTTTGTCTCGGTTTTGCCAGCCCCGCTCCACAGCAGGCCTCCTTTCAGGGCTGGAAGTCTTCTGGGCGGATTTTCATCTCCACCCGTTTGAGGGAGTAGGTGGAGCCATGCCAGCCGTACCAGGTGATGCCGTCCAGGTGCCTGTTGTGCTCACCGTGGCGGTAGAAGACTCCGTTGAGATTGGAGTCTGTGCAGCAGTTGTACCAGTACCCACCTGGCACGAGAAACAGACCCGTGCAGTGAGGCGGTGTGTCCCCCCTGGGAAATGGCCGGCGGACCAGACCGCAGGGATTTGTGAACTTGTTTTCTGAAAAGCAGCTAAGCAATTAGAGCTGATGTAGAAAAGATATACCAAAGCTCGAACACCAGCTGTGCAGTTGTAAGTCCCACTTTCTGCTCAGGTGGGACTGTGGGCTGGTACCCGAACTTCCCCCACCCCCACATCTCACCTTTGCGGAGCTGCGCACACTTGTCTAAGCAGTTGTCGTTGTCCTTGTCCTTGGTGCTGAAGGCCGTGTTGTTATGATAGACGAGGGCGTCGTTCCCCACGTTGCCGCTGTAGTTCCCCAGGAAGAGGCGATAGCTGTTCAGTTCATTGCCCAGAACAAAGTGGCTGTACTCGGCGTAGCGCAGGTCGCCCTCCCAGTCCTGCCAGGGAGGGGGCGGAGCCTGAGAGAACGGCAGCTGGGCGCCATCCCCCAGCCCGCCATGCCCCC